ATCAGAATCATTTGAGGTATTTTCAAACCTTTATGAATATTCAAAGGGCGACAACTAAAACAAAACAGCAATGCAATTCTCATTTTGAAAGATTGGATCAAATCCATGCTCGCTGTTTCAATCACAGAAAATTTACATGAGACAAATTTCATATAATTGTCGTGTCTTAACTTGGTGTAGCCTTTGCTCAATCAGAGATTTACATTGACAGCAACAAATAACTGAGAAAAGAATGCTATTGATTTGCTTAAAAACCTTGTGCATCATAAACTCAAACCCCTTGCTTAATTGTGTGCAACACAAGACAAAGAGGAAAACCCCACACTAGACTATGTCAGCCTGCTATGTCAGCATTATTTGCTAACGATGCGGGCATTCAGTGCATAATAAAGGCAACATTCATCTGGAAATAACAAACATCTGACCCATTGTAAACACTATACAATGTACATCATGCAATATGTGATTCCTGATATTAAAAAGATAACAAATCTGAGTTGTACTGGATCCACTGATGGCAAGTTTCATGATTCTTATGACTTGGTACAAAAGCAAGGCAACTTGGCTGTTATAAAAAGTACATCAGACTATATATTAATGCAGAATAGAAGTTATAAAAATAGAACAATCTGGCTCACTTTGCCCAATCTTCAGATGAGCAATATCAAATATTCACATAGTTTTGTTTGCATCTGAGACAGACCCTACTAGGATAGAAAAGTCAAGCCATCTCACATGATTTCTTTTATCTATTTGTTCCATGTCTTTATACCCAGGGTGTGCCCAAACAGTTGTAAAAACCTTCCATTGGGGACCTGCATACATTACACATTATTAAATAATGTTCAGCACAGTAAAACTCATAAGAAAAGTTCATTTGCGAAACAGACAACGAATATTAATACTTACAAACACAGGTATTTCAGAAATGTTTACAGAAATGATTGTACAATGCAGGTCAATCAGGTCAGTAGGCAATTTGCAGCAATATTCATTTAACAAGTGATACAAAAATAACAAAAAATATCAATATAAATTACCTCTGCATATTTACAAACAATTTATCATGTAATGTACAATGATTACAGTTAATGAGAATGGCTGGTTGTATTTCTACATGTACATGTTATCCCCAATCATCATACCATAGAGTAATGACCACACTACATGTAATTACAACTCTTACATCTGTCACAGTCAAGTTACTGGAATACAGAGATAAGGATCCTCATTATTCACAGACTACAGATAGTTCTTGCAAATATCTCCCTGTCTGAAACGATCCATTTGTACAAATTATCAACATTGTTTGAAGTGTCCCTTGGTACACTGTGCAAGGTGCAGTTAAACTATCCAATACAGAAGAATACAGAGATAAGGATCCTCATTATTCACGGACTTCAGATAGTTCTTGCAAATATCCTGGTTAACTAGCATTTGAACAAATTTCTACATTTTCCGTAGTGCCCCTTGGTACACGTACACTGTGTAAGGTGCAGTTACACTATCCAATACAGAAATCATTTGCTTGGGCAGATCTTAAGTGTTTTCGCAGAATTTGAAAATGAGACTCACAAAATGTCACCACTAACCAGCACTCTGTGCTGGATATTTCCCCATCAATGTGGGAAGGTCCAAATTTGACTGTAATGATTAATCTGAGCAGACAGTTCAAGTCAGTTGATGCAGCTAAGGGTTCAAACCTGACAAGGCCAAGGGACTTTCTGTATGGGCCGGGGAGACATTAAGGGGACAAAGGAATGTTGACTTTCAGTTGATGAGGGTGATTGAATTGGCTTGGAGTCAGTGCAAGATCTTCAAATGTATGAGAGGTAGTACAGGAAAGAAACACAGCAGCAGAAACAGAGAGACACACGAGGAGCTGATAGGCAATGTGTTTTTAGACAGAGGTTGGTAGATGACTGGAACTCACTCCCTTAGGATAAACACTCAAATGAAAATGTCAATGAAAGATCCCCTCACAGCTGGTGACTTTACAACAGAATGTGTTAAGTCAGAGGGTGGTAGATGGTTGGAACTCCAGTCCCCCTCCCCCCGAGAGGGGAAACAGAAAGTGTAGGAACCACTCAGACGTGAAAGAAAACAAGCCTTCACAAATAATATAGACAGCTTCACAAGACAACAATCGCAGATTGCTGAACAGAATCTTACAACCAGATAGTAACCTTTCCAGCTTTGTAATGGGTGACAACACAGATAACACAGTTGACTGATAGAAGTGTACTGGACTTGCATGATGTTGCTGAGTCACCATGTCTTGTGTATAATGAAGAAAGGATTCAGCAATCTGACCAATTTAGGCAGAAGTCCTACATACCCATCAGTGCCACGCCTACAGTGTCTATGCTTCACGTCTTTAACTGTCAATGTGCAGCTTTAATAGGAAGATCTTTGAGAATTTCTAAATGGTTCTAATGAAGGAGCCACAATATGTCACTGAGGAAATCTCTCTGTTATACTCAAGTCACTCCCGTTACAATTTTGCTTCTAGATTTGTTCAGGTCTATACCCTCCACCCTGCCGAAAGAAGGGGAAAAAAATTACCAATGAATTAATTTTTTACTGAGTAGACGCTTTCTTTAGACAAAAAAAGTCTTACTTTTTGATGACAGATTCATTCAATCTGGCAAAAGTTATTGTTCATACATGTACATTAACATTTGCATTGTTTCATTGTGACTAATCCATTGCAGGGTGTGCGATATTTTTTATTAAAAAAAAAAATGACGACAATTTTATTTTATTTCAATCAGATTTTTTTATTTGTTTAACTTTCAAAATATTGATTTGTCTAAAAATGTGTCTTAATCTCCCCATGCACCCTTACACCCATAACTAAGGAGTTTACAGGTTCCTATAATACCTATCATCCACAAAACTCAATAAATTGATCAATGCTTTTGAAACAATTCTATTGAATCAGTGGTTTAAAAAAATCACTTGATTTCATGTACATGTAGTCTACCTCACTTGGTCAATGGTACATTAATACTGAAGACACGTTAAAGGTGCATGGCTTGATTGATACAGCTGAGATATGTTGTTTGTGGATATTTGAAAAACATGATTCATGGTATTGTACAAGATATACAAAAAAATATATAGGGTGATCAAAATAGCGGAACCCAAACCCTTAAAATTATATTTCAGATTTAAAAAGATATGTACAGGTGGCACCAAAAATAATAATGAATGGAAAGCCAAATTCATAAGCTACTTTTAGATGAAAAATAATGAAATTGCTCAATCCATTCAAAGAATATCTCTATTTAAATGCAATGACCCTAAAACCTGTTTCATCCACAAAAAGCAATTTGTGTATTCTTACTGCTTGGAACATCAAAGAAAATGACTCAGAATACTTGTTTCAACAACTTTAATACACAGTATCCTTATCAACAGCCTTGGTTAGGCAAACAATATGATTTACAAAACCAATAAAAAGAATATTTTTAACTTTTAAACCAAGGTTTAATCGCTGGTGATATTTAAAGACCATTGTGACGACGATTCTTGAAATCACATTTTCGGACGAAAGAGGTTTTAGGGTCATTGCGTTTGAATGGTGATATTCTTTGAACCGATTGAGCAATTTCAGTATTTTTTTTCATTTAAAAGTAGCTTATGAAATTGGCTTTCCAGTCATTATTATTGTTGGTGCTACATATGTTTTTAAATATGAAATATATTTGTGGGGTTTTGGGTTCCGATTTTTTTTTGACTCACCCTGTATGAGAACAGTTTTTCATTGGCATGTTTATTTCATAAAAATGCTGTTTATTTCAAAACTGGCAGCACTGATCCTTCTGTAACTATAGTGTTTGATTGAAGGTCCTTCATACAAGGTGGAGAACAGAAATCAGGCCTTGCACCTTTAAAAGGTATTATATAATAGGCTATCAGCTTCGGTCCAAAAATTGGGCCACCGGTATCAAATGATCAAAAGCAGCAGTGCTCATGGCGATCTTTGGCAAGGTATGTAAATCTAGAGTTGGAAAATGTGTGATAGCTTTGCAGTGTGAGCGGTGGCAGTTTTTTGGGTGTTACCACTTATATATTTTTTTTTCAAAATTCCCGCCAATATGCTTGAACCGGATTAATTATACATGGTAATTAACAAGCATGTATTGGCCACAATTTTTTTTTTTTAAGTGATAGCACCCAAAAAGCTGCCACATACCGCTGCAATGCTTTCACATATTTTCCAACTACAGGGGAGCATACCTTACCAAAAATCACAATGAGCATTATTCCCCTCATTTGATACTGACCAAACCCCCAGGCTAAAACTCAATCTAAAAGTTTTATGGAGAAATGTTAGGAATAAATGCTATCAATTGGAACTTTAATACACCTTTAGATGGTTCAGGCAATAGCCTACATGTACACCAGCACAGTTGATTCACAATATTACTGTAAACAGATCAATTAGGAATGATGAACAGATGAAAGCAAACGTGAGTGTGCTGTCTAAAAGGGAATGTACAACATTTGCTTTTGCTACAATTTTCAGAAATAAATGGATTTGGAGGATTAGTATGTTATAGCAGATATTGTTAATCTGATTTTGTTCACGTTTCGGGCCTGTAGATGCTGGAAAAACCAAGAAAACCAATCATGTTCTTGTAGTCTGGTTCCCTGACCCCTTAAGATGAAACAGAAAAATGTATAGACTTTGGGGAAGGTCAGCAAATCAGTCTGGCAGGCTTGTACCCCTTCACAGGTGTGTAATCAATTGTAAAGAAAATGGGGAACAACTGTTATGAAAAAAATTCAGAGCGGTTAAAAAAAAAAGGTTTTCTGCAACACTGCTCGGCTGAACAGTGTTGGAAAAATACAAATTTTCTTGAAAATGTCAGCACACCAGGAGACACGATATTACAGGATACTTTAGGCTGTCATTCCCTAACAATCCAGTAAGGTATTTCATGATAATTTGATCATTTCGTTTTTTTGATGTTTGCAATGTTGTATCTTCCCTTTAAAATTCAAACTTTGAAGAAAAACTTTTAAACTCAGATCTTGACTTTAATCAAAACAATGATTTTGGGTATTATGCAAAACCAACATGTAAGTTGAGTCGATGCTGATGAAGTAGGGGTGTTTGAATGTGTTAACAATATCTTACTCTTTGTAATTACATGTAAGTGGAATCAGTTGATTTAATTGAGTAAAATGACCCTCAGTCAATTTACTTTGCCAAAAATAAGACTGTTACCAAATGATTTAAATCAGTGATTTAAAAAACAAATCATTTGATTTAAATCAGTGATGTTTTAAACAAAATTGTATGATTTAAATCGTGATTTAAATCAGTGAAATTTATGTCCTAAATTTATGTCTAATCCATTCTTCTTCAGGTCACTCAGTGACTCATCAATATGGTTCTTGTCTTCCTCTGTCAAGTCACAGTCCATGAGGTCCAGCCTCTGAAGGTGCAGCAGCTGCTTTACCTCCATGCACCACAATGCTGCTGTACCACCCAGGTTACTATCAGAAAGATTCAATTCACCCAAGTTGGGTAGATCCCCGAGTGACTCAGCAACATGTTTGATGTCCTGTCCATTCAATGAGCAGAAATGCATTTCCAGCTTTGTAAGGGACTTCAACTGCTTCAAATGCATGCACCACAATGCTGCTGTACCACCCAGTTTTTGACCTGAAAGATTCAATTCACCCAAGTTGGGTAGATCCCCGAAGGACTCAGCAACATGTTTGATGTCCTGTCCATTCAATGAGCAGTGACCCAGGTCCAGCTTTGTAAGAGACTTTAACTGCTTCAATTGCATGCACCATAATGCTGCTGTACCACCCAGGTTATTAACAGAAAGATTCAATTCAACCAAGTTGGGTAGATCGCTGAGTGACTCAGCAACATGTTTGATATCCTGTCCATTCAATGAGCAGTAACGCAAGTCCAGCTTTGTCAGGGACTTCAACTGCTTCAATTGCATGCACCATAATGCTGCTGTACCACCCAGGTTATCACCAGAAAGAGCCAATTCACCCAAGTTGGGTAGATTCCCGAGTGACTCAGCAATTTGTTTGATGTCATGTCCATTCCATGAGCAGTTACCCAAGTCCAGCTTTGTAAGAGACTTTAACTGCTTCAATTGCATGCACCATAATGCTGCTGTACCACCCAGGTTATTAACAGAAAGATTCAATTCAACCAAGTTGGGTAGATCCCCGAGTGACTCAGCAATTTGTTTGATGTCCTGTCCATTCAATGAGCAGTTACGCAAGTTCAGCTTTGTAAGAGACTTCAACTGCTTCAAATGCATGCACCACAATGCTGCTGTACCACCCAGGTTATTACCAGAAAGATTCAAATGAGGTACCAAGTTGGGTAGATGTCTGAGCAACTTACCAGTATCTGCATTGTCCTTGAAATCTACAGCATGAAGATTTGTCATTGCACACATGGTAACAGCTAACTCCTCAATAAACCATGTCCATTTACAATGGTGTATATGCAAAGTATGTACATTAGCAAGGTATTTGTTGCCACTGCCTTTTGTCTGTTCAGCAACACATTTCACAAAGTATATGACTGAGTTCAGACAATCCCTGTCACGCTCATGAATGCGAATTTCATCTGTTATGAATGAATGTATGAATTCCTCTGGAGGCAAACGTTTGGATTGACCTTCAAAGAAACAATGAAGTGCCAACTGACCAATCTTTAATTTGAATGCCAATTTCTTCTGACACCTCACCTGAAATACCTTCAGAATCTCATATGTACATGCCTCATTGTCACCACAACAAAAGCGCAGAAGATACTCAAACCTGCTTGCACCCTTTGACATGATTTTATTCAAAATCTTCTGAAATTTCTTTGGGTCTGCTTTTAACAAGCTTTGCAAGTAAGCAGCAGCAGAGAACTCCTGGAATGTCTTGTGAATAAACTGAATACAGTTGTGAGTCTGTAGTCCCTTGCGGTCTGTCTGTCTGGTCAGAATACCTGCTTTGAGAGCCAGCTCAAGCACACTCGGCTCAAAGTCACTTTCTTTGAAAGAGAGTGACTGATCTGGAGAAAGAAGACCATGCAGCGCAACCTTGCCAATTTCAATCACAACTTTTGCTACTTCATCTTGCGAGTCCAATCCTTTTCTTTGGAAGATATATGAAAATCCATTACGATACAGACGTGACATTGTTTCTGGGAGTGTGCAATCTTCTCTCCATAGTACACACATCAAAAGAACAAGCATTGGACTTTCAGATAAACTAGACAGAAGGTGTGACGATTCAATCTTTTCAAGAAGCCCCTTGGCCTTGTCAGGTTCACTAGTGAAAAAATTAGTAACATACTCAGTGACATCGTCTCTACTGAAACCCATGACCCTGACATGTGTGAATGGTTCCTGAACAAGTTCCTCTGATACAAGTCTGTCAAGGTGTGAGGGGCGGGTGCTTACAAGTACAGTACAGCCCCTCAACACCTTTCCACTAAGGATCTCCAGAATGGAACCAAATGAGGATTCACACAAGGAGGTAGTCATGAGCTCATCAAAGCCATCTAGTAAAACGAGGACACTTCCAGGACTGTTCTTGATAAACATGTCCAGGGCACCTCTTTCAATCCTTACATCTTTAGCCAAGAGTTGGTCAAAAACTGCATCAACAAGATCTGAACTCTGCTCCAGTGCGTGCATTTTCAACAGGAAGACAAGTTTATACTTCTGTAGTACCTGACTAAAACAAATTGCCCAATCATATGCAATTTTGTTAAAAAGTGTGGTCTTTCCTCTACCAGCTAACCCAGTTAAAACAGCTATAAGGATCAGATCTCCCTCTTCTGTCTCAAGTTGTAATATATCATCATATGATGCCAGTTTCTTCACTCTGTCCTTACCAAGTATTAACTGTAACTTTGTGTAGATTTCTGTAATGTGTTTCCTGTCATCACCCACCCATGGAAGCACTTTAACAAAGCTACCTTTCCCCCTGTAGTATGACTTTAGGGCATCTTCACAGAAATCAGCAGCCGTATCTTGGGCTGAACTGTCAAACTTCATCCTTTTGGGGGCGCTGCATCCTACAATATTGAAATGAGCATAGAGTTCACTGACTATAATCATACAATGCATTGTGGCATTCAAGAAATAAAATGGCTCCTTGTCTGTAGAAAGTACTATTTTGAGCTGAAATATTGGCTCATTGTATGCAAAAAGTTCAAGCTCTAAAAGCTTGTTGGTTAAAGCTTGGGAGGATAAATATTGACAGGATTGAAATAACTTCCCGTTCACTGATGCATGAATCTTAGTCACTCACACAACAAGTGTTGCAAAAGCTCTGCAATAGACCGATCCAGTAGGCCCCGCCCACTGTGCACGTAGGCAAACTGCATGTTACAGCCGCGTGTCATAAGCGTCTGCACGCATGTTGGATCCAGTAAGCCCCACCCACTGTGCACGTAAGCAATTAACATGTGCTCCTCTCCAATGCCACACTGCATGTTACAGCCGCGTGTCATAAGCGTCTGCACGCATGTTGGATCCAGTAAGCCCCGCCCACTGTGTACGTAGGCAATTAACATGCGCTCTTCTCCAACGCCAAACTGCATGTTCCAGCTGCACGCACATGCCCGTGCAAGTATGTTGGACTTTTGTGCACTGATGTGATGTCAGACATAAGTCATGGCTGTGATTGGTCAGAACACAATGGGGCGGGGCTAAATGGATTGGTCTATTAATGACAGATGATAAATTTATTTTCATGAAAAAAATATTATTTTCTCAAACTCATGGCATGCATGGGAAGCAAAAAGATGCTGCGCTTTTGTATACTGCAAATTAACAAGAACAAAACATTTTATTCCCATCATACAAGTGTGAGACTAGTATGTAAAGAATGTATACATTTACTACATGTACATGTATACATCTGGTTTGGAGTTGGTACATTCATTGATAATTACCTTGTGCACCTGAGGCCACATGCCGTGTTGGTGGTTGCTGTGATGTACTTGGTGGATTCTCTGATATGTCAACTGATGGATGACCAGAGTGGTGTGATGCATCATCTTCAATCAAATCAAATATGAGAAGGATAATTGTGTGTATCACTGTCATGAAAAAAATATTCAGTGAGATGTCATTTTTCGGAGTTGAGGGATAAAAAGTGGGAAAAAAGTCGGAGCAAGGTAAACAAAACTAGGAAAAAGTAGGAAAAGTAGAAATACTTGAAAGCCTGAAAAATGTTATGCAACAGTAATGAGGGACTAATTAGATCTATCCTTTTTCAAATGTGGCACACATATGGCGGGCGCTATTTAAAAACTTAATTATTCAACAAATTACAAGACTTAACCATAAATAGTGTCCTCCAATTGTGTCAACAATTAATATTTTGACTTGGCTAATAGTTGTACCAAAGAAAATTAGTGACTCTCAGTAGCTTGTGAAACTGACAATCAGTTTCCATGTTTATGTAGTATAAAAGTTCATCACCGATCGCGAAAGTCCATCACCGATCGTGAATATGCATCACCTGTAAAAGTCCATCACCGAACACGAAAGTCCATCACCGATCGTGAATATGCATCACCGATTGCAAAAGTCCATCACCGAACACGAAAGTCCATCACCGATCATGAATATGCATCACAGGTAAAAGTCCATCACCGATCGCGAAAGTCCATCACCGATCGTGAATATGCATCACCGATTGCAAAAGTGTATCACCGAACATGAAAGTCCATCACCGATCGTGAATATGCATCACCTGTAAAAGTCCATCACCGAACACGAAAGTCCATCACCGATCGTGAATATGCATCACCTGTAAAAGTCCATCACCGAACACGAAAGTCCATCACCGATTGTGAATATGCATCACAGGTAAAAGTCCATCACCGATTGCGAAAGTCCATCACCGATCGTGAAAATGCATCACCGATTGCAAAAGTGTATCACCAAACACGAAAGTCGATCACCGATCGTGAATATGCATCACCTGTAAAAGTCCATCACCGAACACGAAAGTCCATCACCGATCCTGAATATGCATCACCTGTAAAAGTCCATCACCGAACACGAAAGTCCATCACCGATCGGGAATATGCATCACAGGTAAAAGTCCATCACCGATCGCGAAAGTCCATCACCGATCGTGAATATGCATCACCGATTGCAAAAGTGTATCACCGAACACGAAAGTCCATCACCGATCGTGAATATGCATCACCTGTAAATGTCCATCACCGAACACGAAAGTCCACCACCGATCCTGAATATGCATCACAGGTAAAAGTCCATCATCGATCGCGAAAGTTCATCACCGATTGTGAATATGCATCACCGATTGCAAAAGTGTATCACCGAACACGAAAGTCCATCACCGATCGTGAATATGCAACACCTGTAAAAGTGTATCACCGAACACGAAAGTCCATCACCGATCGTGAATATGCATCACCTGTAAAAGTCCATCACCGAACACGAAAGTCCATCACCGATCGTGAATATGCATCACCTGTAAAAGTCCATCACCGAACACGAAAGTCCATCACCGATCCTGAATATGCATCACCTGTAAAAGTCCATCACCGAACACGAAAGTCCATCACCGATCGTGAATATGCATCAACTGTAAAAGTCCATCACCGAACACGAAAGTCCATCACCGATCGTGAATATGCATCACCTGTAAAAGTCCATCACCGAACACGAAAGTCCATCACCGATCCTGAATATGCATCACCTGTAAAAGTCCATCACCGAACACGAAAGTCCATCACCGATCGTGAATATGCATCACCTGTAAAAGTCCATCACCGAACACGAAAGTCCATCACCGATCGTGAATATGCATCACCTGTAAAAGTCCATCACCGATCGCGAAAGTCCATCACCGATCGTGAATATACATCACCTGTAAAAGTCCATCACCGAACACGAAAGTCCATCACCGATCGTGAATATGCATCACCAATTGCAAAAGTGTATCACCGAACACGAAAGTCCATCACCGATCGTGAATATGCATCACCTGTAAAAGTCCATCACCGAACACGAAAGTCCATCACCGATCCTGAATATGCATCACCTGTAAAAGTCCATCACCGAACACGAAAGTCCATCACCGATCGTGAATATGCATCACCTGTAAAAGTCCATCACCGATCGCGTAAGTCCATCACCGATCGTGAATATGCATCACCTGTAAAAGTCCATCACCGAACACGAAAGTCCATCACCGATCGTGAATATGCATCACCTGTAAAAGTCCATCACCGATCCTGAATATGCATCACCTGTAAAAGTCCATCACCGAACACGAAAGTCCATCACCGATCGTGAATATGCATCACAAGTAAAAGTCCATCACCGAACACGAAAGTCCATCACCGATCGTGAATATGCATCACCGATTGCAAAAGTCCATCACCGAACACGAAAGTCCATCACCGATCGTGAATATGCATCATCTGTAAAAGTCCATCACCGAACACGAAAGTCCATCACCGATCCTGAATATGCATCACCCGTAAAAGTCCATCACCGAACACGAAAGTCCATCACCGATCGTGAATACGCATCACCGATTGCAAAAGTCCATCACCGAACACGAAAGTCCATCACCGATCGTGAATATGCATCACAGGTAAAAGTCCATCACCGATCGCGAAAGTCCATCACCGATCGTGAATATGCATCACCGATTGCAAAAGTGTATCACCGAACACGAAAGTCCATCACCGATCGTGAATATGCATCACCTGTAAATGTCCATCACCGAACACGAAAGTCCACCACCGATCCTGAATATGCATCACAGGTAAAAGTCCATCATCGATCGCGAAAGTTCATCACCGATTGTGAATATGCATCACCGATTGCAAAAGTGTATCACCGAACACGAAAGTCCATCACCGATCGTGAATATGCAACACCTGTAAAAGTGTATCACCGAACACGAAAGTCCATCACCGATCGTGAATATGCATCACCTGTAAAAGTCCATCACCGAACACGAAAGTCCATCACCGATCGTGAATATGCATCACCTGTAAAAGTCCATCACCGAACACGAAAGTCCATCACCGATCCTGAATATGCATCACCTGTAAAAGTCCATCACCGAACACGAAAGTCCATCACCGATCGTGAATATGCATCACCTGTAAAAGTCCATCACCGAACACGAAAGTCCATCACCGATCGTGAATATGCATCACCTGTAAAAGTCCATCACCGAACACGAAAGTCCATCACCGATCCTGAATATGCATCACCTGTAAAAGTCCATCACCGAACACGAAAGTCCATCACCGATCGTGAATATGCATCACCTGTAAAAGTCCATCACCGAACACGAAAGTCCATCACCGATCGTGAATATGCATCACCTGTAAAAGTCCATCACCGATCGCGAAAGTCCATCACCGATCGTGAATATGCATCACCTGTAAAAGTCCATCACCGAACACGAAAGTCCATCACCGATCGTGAATATGCATCACCAATTGCAAAAGTGTATCACCGAACACGAAAGTCCATCACCGATCGTGAATATGCATCACCTGTAAAAGTCCATCACCGAACACGAAAGTCCATCACCGATCCTGAATATGCATCACCTGTAAAAGTCCATCACCGAACACGAAAGTCCATCACCGATCGTGAATATGCATCACCTGTAAAAGTCCATCACCGATCGCGTAAGTCCATCACCGATCGTGAATATGCATCACCTGTAAAAGTCCATCACCGAACACGAAAGTCCATCACCGATCGTGAATATGCATCACCTGTAAAAGTCCATCACCGATCCTGAATATGCATCACCTGTAAAAGTCCATCACCGAACACGAAAGTCCATCACCGATCGTGAATATGCATCACAAGTAAAAGTCCATCACCGAACACGAAAGTCCATCACCGATCGTGAATATGCATCACCGATTGCAAAAGTCCATCACCGAACACGAAAGTCCATCACCGATCGTGAATATGCATCATCTGTAAAAGTCCATCACCGAACACGAAAGTCCATCACCGATCCTGAATATGCATCACCCGTAAAAGTCCATCACCGAACACGAAAGTCCATCACCGATCGTGAATACGCATCACCGATTGCAAAAGTCCATCACCGAACACGAAAGTCCATCACCGATCGTGAATATGCATCACAGGTAAAAGTCCATCACCGATCGCGAAAGTCCATCACCGATCGTGAATACGCATCGCCGATTGCAAAAGTGTATCACCGATTCGATGATCACATTAAACGCCTCTTTGGCGTTCCATAACAGAGCACTATACACGTCACATGCTTGTGCTGCAAATAGCGAGCACCGTAGACCCAACCTCGTTTCCAGGGTGTGTAGCAGGCTGCAGTACGCGTTGCCATCGACGGTTTTATGCATAGCTCAGAAAGTACTACGCAGTGTAGACTTTCGATTTTCTTCAGACTGCGCAAGGCATACTAATGTGTGGTCCTTCTGAGTATTCGTTGCACTCGGCACAGGGGCGGCAAGCGAAGCATATGAGAGAACAGGGACACTTGGTGGCCACGCACCATGGAGAAAAAATATTTTGCCAAGGTCACCCCATGCTACCGTTTGGTGAACTCTTTTGCAAAACAGTCAAGTAGAACACGTAAACGCAACCCCTACGTCGAAGCCGCTGACCTCGCACAGTCTAGACACGTAGAAAAAGCCAGCACAGGGGGCGGACAGGCAGTCAACGTGAAAGTGCACACGACGGCAAATTCCTGCGCAAAATGCAGTCACGAAAAATCAACAAAACGGATCGCCGGTCCATACGGGAAAATCAGGACGACACAAGGTGTCCGACCCGGTGGAAGACACCCTCCGCATTTTTCCACGGACGTGAAGCGATTTTGGCGCCGCGGGAGCTCGCGGTCTCGGATCCTTTCATGAGCAAACATCGTCTGGGAGGCCGAGTTAAACTCTCTCTTATATATATAGATATCATCTCCCCCCCCCCCCCCCCCCCCCAAAAAAAAAACAAATTTCAATTTAGATTTAATATCAAATTACTTTCATCTTAAAGAACAAGATTACATTTACCTGGTCCCTGCAACGGGAAGACGTAACTGATATTGACTCCAGTTGAACCAACAATGATAGAGTTTTTGCTACCACTGATTGTGCCGCTGTTTCCGATGGTTCCAGTTCGTTGTGGGGAATCTACAATCAAAAGCAGGAATAAAAAAATCAATAAAATACATGTAACAGTCCACAAAATGATGCCTGTACTCAATTCCATCTCTATTTGTCGTCTGTTCTTGGAAACATTGCCTTTCTACGGAGCCCCTATAAAAAGGGACATTCAAATTCTTTTTGTTATCTTGTGCACACGATATAATTATGCCGTGCGCACGAGACAATTATACACAAGGAGCTAGCTGCATGTGCAGCATGAACAAAATCGGACGAGTTTGTGTGTAACGAAAGCAACATGTTTATTGGGAGGGGGTGAAATAATGCATGCACTATACATTACATGTCAAGTCAGTTAGGACATGGATTTTTTTTGGGGGGGGGGGCGCTATCATGATTAATTTTGTCAAACTTGGCCTTTGTTGAGAAAGATAGGCCTAAGTGTTTTATGCTAAGTAAATAGAGGAAGAACCGGTATGTGCACGCAAACTTCAGGGAATCATCAATTGATGTTGGTTTTATTGTTAGAAAATTCCAAGACAATTGCCGACGTGAATTTAAGTTGATTTAAACGCTATATATAGGACATTGGGAGTCGTTATCAGCATCAGCAGTTTGAATGGATGCAAGTTAGACGGTTTTATTCTCCCTGTCAATTTTAAACAGAGTCTCATTTTCGCTGATGAGTGGGAATCAGTGGCGTAGCCAAGGGGGGCCTTGGACAAATTCTTAGTGCCAACCCCCTCCCCCCCCCCCTGCCCTCACAGAAAAACTGAGATTTCCAGCTTGCCAAAGTAAGTGTATTTTTAAAGGATTTTGTGAGTTATTACACCGAAGATGAATGTAGATTACTATTTTTGTCTTCCCTGAGACGCACTGCTGTATGAAAAGTCAACAAATTAATAGGAAAAAAGAGTGCCCTCTATCGTTAAAGAGCCCCCCCCCCCCCCCTCCCCTTTTCAAACTTGAAGCCCTTGTGGTGGCATGGACATTTGGGGGAAATGTTGTTGGGTCTGTCCTTGGTGCCCCCTCATAAACTGCTGGTGCCCCTAATAACCCACTGGCCTAGCCACTGGTGGCAATGGCGAAGGATGTAGACCTTTAGGTTTTCTAAGGATGGGAATAAGCCTAGGTCCCCACCTAGAACAATCAGTTCAATGTTGGACAGCTGATTGTCTGATAGGTGTTTACCATAAGGCATACTTTTTTAGCCTTCAGCTCAAGAAATTATCTTAGCGTCATGTTTACGCTTTTTGCAAATTTGACAGAATTGAACAGATCTGCAAGAGAGCATGGCAATTGTGGCTTAGTAATGTTACATTGTTTGTGCTGAGGCCTTTGTGCGCAATGTATTGGTACAAGGTCAGCTGATAACTTTAATTCACGATCACGCGTCGGCAGCAATTTTTATCAATTGATTATTCCCCAAGTTTACCTGCACATATACCAATTCTTCCTCGCTGTTTTCTTAGCTATAAAACATAAGTAGGTTTGGCCCTTTACCGACGTATTAATCCCGGGGGGGGGGGGCAAATTCCATCTTATGAATTTTTAGCTATAAAACACTTCTCTCTCTCAAAAAGGCAGTCTCACATTCATCAAAAATCCCCATCCTATCTGACTTAACATGTAACATAGTGGCTGCATTTATGATTACGCCCCCTCCAAAATAAACACGCTGCTTTTGTTACAAACAAAATGGTCTGATTTTGTGCACGCCACGTGCAGCCAGCTAGCTCCTTATATATAATTATGTCGTGCGCATGAGATATTATTTCGTGTGCACAAGATAACAAAAAATAATATTATATGTCCCTTTAGGGGCTCTGTACCTTTCATAGAAGAAAAACATTTTTTATTCAATCTGACAATTAATACTGACAATTAATAGACAAAAAAGTACAAAAATACCAGGCAACATCTACCAGTACATGCATGTCTTAAATCTTCGGGTGAGGTGGGGAGGGGAGGGTGGTAAATGCCCCTCCACTAAAGGTAAAAAACCGACTACAAGCAACTACAGGGCGAGTAAAAAAAAAGAAACCCAAATGCCAAAAAAAAAGTCTCCGGTTTCTGGTATGGAGCTTGCCCAAAAAGTGGTGCGGCGACACGGCTTTTTTTTTTTTTTTTTACCTGATTTTTTTGCTTCAAATGTCGGCTGATGACTGCAAATAGTGCCCGACTAAACTTAGTGCAAATATATGGGAGTCCAGAGAGGCCACATAAAGCTTATTCTCGACCATAACCCAATCTAAAAACACGTTAAAATTGTGCAGCAGCAGGATTCCAGTCAAACCAGTGAGTTTGGCGGTTTTGAGACATCATCTTTCATTGAAAAAAACTTTTTCATTTTGCCGACGCGCATGGCTACGGCGACGCGCGCGCATACCAGAAACCGGAGACATTTTTTTTTAGGCCAAATGGCGCCCCCTATTTTTTGAAAAAGTTGTGCATGTAGCACTTTCCAGATCTAGGATATGAAAGCTAAATTACTAAGCTTTCTGTTAGTGAAAGAAACATTCAAATTGCTCATGCACTTTTGCAGTTTTGAAGACAAACACCGTTTTTAACCTTGTCCACGAATCACATTTGGCATGTGATATTTCAGTATTAAAAATGAAACCATATGTCGCACCCTGAAAATGATATCAGAATAATTAATCCCATAAGTCTCTGGGGTAGCCAAGAAGAAGGCAGCTAGGGCAAAACAATAAACTATTGACAGTATAAAGCCTCATATTTTAAGCACTTCGCGCCAGGTTTATTTTTGCCGAAAATGTTGAAATTTTCAAAATGCAAAATTTGCCAGCCAACTTCTGATAAACATGTACATGTACAGCCAAACGCCATAAATACTGATTCGCAAAAATGATTTGAACAGTATTTGTACGATATTTCTTGTCGATAACTCATACATGTATGTTTCAACACTCAATAAATGTTATGATTAGTGCCAGTTACCATGGTTATGAGAATGTTCTGATGTGTTTAATTGATATGGGAATAGTTTTCGTTTTGCTAAAATATCACTAACCTTTGTGATCTGTGGAAAAGCTTAAAAAATGGTGTTTGCCTTCAAAATTCCTAAACCTGGAAAAGTACATGAGCAATTTGAATGGTCCTATCACTAAATAAAAACTTATTAATTGGGCTTTCATATCCTAGATCTGAAAAGCACTACATGCAGTACTTTTTTTTTTTTTAAATAGGGGCACCATTTGGGTTTCCTCTTTTTTTTTACTCACCGGGTAAAGCTACTACGTACTTACCTAATGCAGCAGGTACCTGAGCCTCCTGTTCCATCGTGGTAGGGACATCCATCCGTTGGTAGGCTGCTTCAGATTGTTGCATCATGGAAGGGACATTAGTCTGTTGGTAGGCTGCTTCAGATTGTTGCATCATGGAAGGGACATTAGTCTGTTGGTAGGCTGCTGCAGATTGTTGCATCATGGAAGGAACATTAGTCCGTTGGTAGGCTGCTGCAGATTGTTCCATCGTGGTGGGGACATCAGTCCATTGGCTGGCTGCTTCAGATTGTTGCATCATGGAAGGGACATTAGTCCGTTGGTAGGCTGCTGCAGATTGTGGCATCGTGGTGGGGACATCAGTCCGTTGGTAGGCTGCTCCAGATTGTTGCATCATGGAAGGGACATAAGTTTGTTGGTAGGCTGCTGCAGATTGTTGAATTGTGGTGGGGACATTAGTCCGTTGGTAGGCTGCTGCAGATTGTTGCATCATGGAAGGGACATTAGTCCGTTGGTAGGCTGCTGCAGATTGTTGCATCATGGGTGGGACATAAGTCCGTTGGTAGGCTGCTGCAGATTGTTGCATCATGGAAGGGACATTAGTCCGTTGGTAGGCTGCTGCAGATTGTTGCATTATGGAAGGGACATTAGTCCGTTGGTGGGCTGCTGCAGATTGTTGCATCATGGAAGGGACATAAGTTTGTTGGTAGGCTGCTGCAGATTGTTGCATTGTGGTGGGGACATTAGTCCGTTGGTAGGCTGCTGCAGATTGTTGCGTCATGGAAGGGACATAAGTCGGTTGGTAGGCTGCTGCAGATTGTTGCATTGTGGTGGGGACATTAGTCTGTTCGTAGGCTGCTGCAGATTGTTGCATTATGGAAGGGACATTAGTCCGTTGGTAGGCTGCTGCAGATTGTTGCATCATGGAAGGGACATAAGTCGGTTGGTAGGCTGCTGCAGATTGTTGCATTGTGGTGGGGACATTAGTCTGTTCGTAGGCTGCTGCAGATTGTTGCATTATGGAAGGGACATTAGTCCGTTGGCAGGCTGCTTCAGATTGTTGCATTGTGGTGGGGACATCAGTCTGTTGGTAGGCTGCTTCAGATTGTTGCATCGTGGTAGGGACATCAGGCCATTGGCAGGCTGCTTCAGATTGTTGCATTGTGGTGGGGACATCAGTCCGTTGGTAGGCTGCTGCAGATTGTTGCATCATGGTAGGGTCATCAGTCCTTTGGCTGGCTGCTTCAGATTGTGCATCCATGGTTCTTTGGATCACCGGCCCACAATTGGAAGTCCTGTTTGTCAATGATTAAGGAAAAACTGTGTCACGTTTCATTTTTGGTGGATTAACTTTTGAATATTTTAACAGATTTGTGAACGCACCCACGATCACTGACAAGGCAAATGGCAGGGCAAGCCTATAGTCTGAGCATTTGGGACTCTCAATAAACCTGATTGACATTCGCATTGCACCAAGGGTACAGAAAACAACCAACCAATACAGTTCATGCATAAACCAATAGGGGCAGTGAGCCAGTCATGCTTGTAAGTATTTTAAAATTGATCATTGTATAATTCATCTATTAACAAATTAAAGCGTGGATTATGAGAAACAATTTGTACATAAACTTACAAATAAGTAAAGCCTCTGCGATTCATGTTCCCACGAAGTGACAAAGAGTCAGCTCGTGAGCAGGGCCAGAACACACAAAATAATTATACAATGGTTTACACACGGCAGGATGGGAGCATACACGCGCGCGCGTGAACGATGTTGAAAAAGAACACACGCGCCCTCGCTCAACTGTCGTGATGCGCAAAATTAACAAGTATGTTGCGTCGAAAAAAGTACAAAATAAGTAAAGCCTCCGCGATTCATGATCCCACGAAGTGACAAAAACTGTGTACAAACTAATTGGCAAAATAATGGTACCCAAAATATTGATGTTCTCACGAAGTGCAAAAAAGTTTTATTAATGAATTACTGTTTAATTACTAACTATTTCTAACAAACAATTATGAAATAACAAAGAGCAAATCATATCCTATCGGACAATGCAAAAACTGAATTCTGTTACTGCAAAGTGTTCGAAAATGTCTTTTGAAAAAATGAATAACTTCAAATGCGATTATCTCAGAGTGAACTTTTGTCAAATTTTGAGGTTTTTGTCACTTCGTGAGCAAAGCGACGATATGTTGGGATGGTCCCAACCAGAGATGCTACAGGGTCTGCTTGAAAAAAAAAAACGGAACAGGGTCTGATTGAAAAAACTGGAACAGCTGCTTGAAAAAAACGGAATTCTATTTTTTGTGAAAAAGCCACTCTGACACAAAGTCCCTGTTGTCATCTTTCTCTTGTAGCTAAACCCAGTTCCATTTATTATTTTTTATTTTGCTGCTGTGGCCTTTAACTCTATTATGTCTAAGCTGTTGGTTCGTTCAATCACTTTGAATTTTTCCATATTCCTATTTTTTATTTGGCCTACCCGAATTTCCAACGTTTTCTAGATGAAACATGCACCATTCCACATTACTGTCAGTGTACAGTGTACATGACGTGACGAAAACATGGTTGGTACCTGGCATTTTTTGTATTCACATACATGTATATCACTGCGATCGGAAACCACCGATAACTGAAATGATAGAATTGATTTCGACGCGTGCTCTGTTGTATACTGAGTGCAAGTACATTGGCCACCTGTATCGCATGCAGGCTCGGCAACAACAAAAGACTTGTTTTTAAGACTACCTGACTTCAACGGAAAACGTTGTGACATGCGTGCCCAAGGCCTACATTTACTCAACTCGAGAGCGCTAATGAGGTAAAAATCAACGCATTTCCACAGTTTTTCTTCTCTTTTTTCAGTGTTTTTTTTTTTTAAGCCGGAAAAAAGAACAGATTAAAAAAAAAGGAATTGCGGCTAAAACTTAATCTGTACCCATCATCATAGTCCGAAAATTTGGGACTCTCAATACTGTGTATGATAATCCCAAATCTTAGGATAGTTTAACACAGTGCAGCTTATAGTTGGGACCATCCCAACATATGTACAGATTGTCCAAACTTCAGCTGCATGGGCCCGCCCATCGTAGTCTGAAGATTTGGGACTCTCAACACTGTGTATGATAATCCCAAACCTTAAGATTGTAGAAACACACATGTATGCAATACAAGAAAATAGACTGGCACACGGAACCAGTCCAACATCCCTTTAGTACTGCAGCTGCTTCAATTAACTGTGTCCAAAAGAAACATCTAGTACCGGTACCTACAATGTAGCATCTCTGTTTCTACACATTTTCCCAAGTCAAGCAACCAGACTACTGAAGGGACATTCTTTCCAAAAAGAAATGTACATGTACTTTAGAAATAAAAACAAGAAACAGTTTTGGGTACGGCCATGTAGAACAATTGTGATTGGTTAGTGTTGGTGGGACCTGAACAATTGCTGTTACCATAATTTATTGTCCTTGACCAATGCACATAGCTTAAGTGTGCTACACGTACCAAAGTAAACTTAGGAATGCCTTTATGTTGTGCAAACCTGACATAAAACAGAAACCGACCCGTCCCCAAATCGACTTCGGTTCGGATTTGGTCGGTCGGTTTTCCCATCATTTCAGTCGGGTCGACTTGGCTTGGTTTTGGTTTGCCTTTACGATTTTTGGGTCAGGTCGGTTCGGTTAAGCCATCTAATGAGAAACCTGAAATAAGCCAGCAAAAACCTTAACAGTTTGCAAACTCAGAGGGTGTAACTGAAGACAAACACTGAAGAGTCTCACAGGCCGTGCTCCAGCCTGAAGGGCCTACATGATGCGTATTTTGAAGACTGCATGCCCTATATGCCCTCATGCATTATTTCCTGCACGTCACATCAAGTACAAACATTTTTAAAGACTTCGCAATGCCTATACAATAAACTGACCAGTGAAATAAATAGTGTGACCGTGCAGTGGAACTAAATTTACCACTGCATTAAACTTCTGTTTTTGTGCAAGTGGCCAGTCTGTGGAGTGTGGATTGGGATGAATGTGATTATTACGACTGCGGTAATAAGGGAGTCCACCTGGGCTAGGAAAATATTGAAGCATTTCCTATTAAGAAAACAATTAGAATTTTTTCTAAAGTCAAGTGATGTCCAGGTATGGAAATTCTTTCTGAAGTCCGATTTTTGAATGATAAAAAACACCCTTGACTCTAATTAGAAGAAACTATAAAAGACTGAGCTGAGAGTAGACTTTGTAGTTTATTTACGTGTTAGAAGCACACACACCCTTACTAGCAATGCAAAAGAAGTATCTGCTTTCTCAGACGTCTACTTTGCGTGTAATTTCCAAGCTTGTTTGCACACGTTTGTATCTAAATTCCAACATCGAAAAGATCATGCGCAATGCACACGTAAGGTCCAATGCTAGCACAAAAAAAGACCACGGAGTGGACGTGGCAGGTCTGGGTTGCCACGTGTGCCTTGACTAAAGATATAAAAATGAGTGCAAATGAGCCTGGAAATTACACGAAAAGTAGACATCTGAGCAAGCAGATACTTCTTTTCCATTGCAGATTGCTAAAGAGAATGAAATAAACTACAAACAAAGTCTGAATGTGAAAATCCAATTATTACAAAGTCCTAAATGTTTGGGTATATTATGCGGGTGTGGCCTATATTGACGGAGGTAGTCCAGTAAATTGGCCACATTTATGGGGCTAAGCTAAAGCTGAGGGGCCTGTAACAACACGACCTCAATCCTGTCAGTAGCTCTTTCTTGGGGCCGGCCTAGCTTAAGTAACTCCAGCTGACATGCTCATCAGGAATTCACATGTAACGCTGGAGACAAAACTACGTCTTAAATTTATGTGAGATTGTAAGACACCCTAAAAAGATGGCCCCCACAAAATGGTTATTTTTTTCCTATTATTTTGTAGTATCCCAACCCAGATTCCATAAAACATACTTCATAGTTTGCACTCAGTCATGTCATTCACGAAGCCAATGATTGACTTGAAACAGAATAAAAATTACTAAAATATGAAAAATGTTGATGATTTCAGTGGCTTCTTCAGAAAAACTGTCAAGTGCCGCTGTACTGTCATGCACGGCTGTATTGTGTGCTTGTGCCGATCAGCCAATCAGATTATTCTTCGAACATGTCGAATAATTGAGGAATAATCTGATTGGTTGATCGGCACAAGCACACAATAAACATGATAAAACCACAACACAGCCATGACTACACCCATGAACATGGCTATATATACATTTAAACACACCTCCTGCTTGTTATTTATCCTGGTTGGCTAAAACGCGGTCACGTGTGATTCACTAAGATCTATAGGCTAGTGTATGAAACTTGCGTCAGCCTGAACTAGACATGCTAGATGCGCTTTGAGACATCGCGTGCATAATTTCCAGAGTATAAGCCTACTGCATCTATAGAGCTATATTAAATTACTAGAGCGCTAACTCCTCATTCTTGCGCGTGGAGATGCTTTGAAGCCGCTCTGGGCGCAGACATTTTGATTTTATGTGCGTGTTTGTAGAACACAATCAAAATAAATGGATTGAATTTTAAAGTGTACTCTAAATGCAGCGCGCAAGTACAACTTAAGATACGCAAACAACTTAAGCACGTCATGGCAGTTCAAAAAGCGTCACGGCGAAAAGCATCTACAACTGAGGGACGCGCACATACGGAAGACAGATAGTGCCACTCAATGAGTGTGAATATATTTTTGTGGTGCGTGTGAAAATATTTTCTTGTACAGCGGCCGCCACTTATATGTGGGGCCGCCAGAAAATAAGTGGCAGCCGCCACATAAGTCGTCATTATAAGTCAGCCCCACCGGTCACCATTTTGATGTATGTCATATGTACATGTAACAGACTAGCACAACTTTCCTTACTTGTACTGTGATCTCCACGGTACGCATGTAAAGCGTATGCATCGTTGGTAAAGAGATAACACAGTTCTGGAACAAATATAAGGCTGCGACCCAGGTATGTGATAGTACCTCCCTGGTTTTTATGCGCGCACAAACACGCGGGGAAATAGTAAAAACTTTCACATGGTTGAGTTGCTGGAATTGACCAATGAAATGCTGCAGTTACCTGATGAATATTTATGAGGTAAAGTTATAAGGCCAAAAAAAGAATAGTTGATAGCT